TAATAATCATGATAGAAATGATAATCATAATAAAGATAATAATCATAATAAAAAATAATAATCATAATAAAAAATAATAATCATAATAGAAATGATAATCATAACTAAAATAATAACGATAATTATAAACATAATATAATACAATAATGAGGATAATAATAATGAGGATAATAACAATAATGATGATGATGATAATAATGATGATGATGATAATGATGATGATGATAATGATGATGATGGACATAATAAAAAATAATAATCATAATAGAATGATAATCATAACTAAAATAATAACGATAATTATAAACATAATATAATACAATAATGAGGATAATAATAATGAGGATAATAACAATAATGATGATGATGATAATAATGATGATGATGATAATGATGATGATGATAATGATGATGATGATAATGATGATGATGATGATGGTGATGGTGATGGTGATGATAATGATAATGATGATGATGATGATGATGATGATGATGATAATGATAATGATAATGATAATGATAATGATAATGATAATGATAATGATGATGATGATGATGATGATGATGATGATGATGATGATGATGATGATGATAATGATAATGATAATGATGATGATATTAGTAATAACGATATGAAGATATTAATAATGTCGATGATGATAATAATGATGGTGGTAATAATTATGATTACTATTACCATTATTGTCACTATTATTACCATTGTTATAACAGTAACAATGACAATGATGAGTTGTCTAACATGAGCCCTTCGCAAGACCATGGGTTTAGCCTGTATTTGGCCTAAGAAGGAACTCGGTCTGTACTGCAATTGGCAAAGATTCAAACAGAGGAGATAATTAGGAATAAAAAGACAGACACAAAGGTCTATATTTTCTTATGGTGTTTTTTTTTTAAGGAACAGGTTATCTTGTATTCTAAAAATCATAAAAAAGCCTTGCCTATTTCTTCTAGATTTTTTTTTCTTTTTTTACTTATTACCGCCACGATCTGAATTCAAGTATATTTTGGCATCACTTCATCATCCAGAGTTGATATTCCTTCTTGTTAAACCTTTTAATTTCGTACGAAATGAAGGACAAATAAAACTCAGAAAGAATATTTATAAATCTTATTTGTCTGGTCCTGATTTTTTGGTAAATTTTCTTTTTTTTAACTCTGTTCTGTAGTTTTTTTTACTGAAATGATTACATATCAGAGCAACTGCTTGTAGAATGCGACTGAGTCTAAGATTGTTGCAAGTCAGGAGTGCTTGTCAAGGCCCAGCTGCCTTTACTTGATCAAACAACGCAACAATGGTTAACGAAAGGAGCAGGCAGATCTGAGGTGCGTTTGGGATGTCCAGCAAAGTTATTAAACTGACAATGAATTCCAAAAAGGCATCAAGAGTCTTTGGCAAGGATCGTGTGAAATTTTACACGGAGGTATATCATATATAACCATAATATAAATAACTATCAGCTATTTATATATTATGAGAATCAACGAAGATGTGCGGCGTACTTTAGGCGGGAATCACGGAGAAAGACCTAGTCCGGTCATTTCCTTTCCCGAGGTCCTTCCTGTGGTCGGGGTTCAGGTCCTTGAGCCCTTTAAGACGGCCTCAGAGGAGTCCTTCGCCACACTCTCCTCCATCGATGCAACTGTACCTCAACAATGCTCGACGCTCTTGTTCACGACTTGGGTCTCGGGGACTTCGAGTCCGACCTGGCGATGCTCGACCACGCCGCCCCTTGGCTGGAGGAGCCCGACGCCTCTCCACCCGCCAAGAGGAGGTGCCTGGTCGGGCGCCGCCACGACTCCGCCACCTGGCTTCTGCCCTCGTCTCCTGAGGGAGAAGAGGCATATCCTCCGCCGAGCTTGTCTCCGGCGCCTTTTCAACCAGACATGGATTACGAGGGTCAGGACGAACCGTTGCACGGCGCCTCCTTTGGTACCTTCCCGCCAGCGTCTCCAGCTAGCGCTCCTGCGCCTCAGGTTCCTCACCTCGAGGTCCCTGTGACGGAGGCGACAGACGTGGACTGTGACCTCTCGTCCCTGCCCGGTCCGGTGTTCCTCATCCCGGCCATCGTATCGGGAAGGGCGTCCCTCGACGCTTCCCCGACGTCCATCTTGGTGTACGTCGTGTCGACGTCCCCCTCCCTGGGGGTTCCCGTGTCTGCTCCTCGACCTCTGGCGTCGCAAACAAAGGTTTCTCAACGGTTTGATCTTCATAAAGGACTTCCTTACAGCTCCCCAAGGGAATACCGTGCAAGTGATTAGTCTCTGTTTCCTGTCATATGTATTATCCCAGTAAAAGAATAAGGCACAATATCTTGTTTTAACTATTTACAACGCAATTAACTCGTAGCCAGAAAGCATATTATACAAACATGTGTATGTGTATCCAGATGGACATTGATTCGACATTTAATAGGTTATATTCGTGTGTTGGTTATTTTTGTAAGGAGGTCTGGACCGCCAAAATGTTTGTTTGTGCACTTTATTTTCAAGGCGTATCAATATAGCAAAGTTTAGTGAAAAATGTAATAGTTCAAACTGTAATGGTTGGTTTATTTAAAACTTTTTACCTCGCACGCGGTGCTGGGTATGAAAATCCTTATTTTACTCGGAAATAGAAATTTTTAGCGTTTGATAAATGAATTGATATCAATGTAGCATCCATACGCATTGAATTGCAATAACTAAGACATGGCGTTGCTTTCATTTCGCATACAGAAAGAGAATGATTGAGCAAAATGCGGCAATGCTAACAAGCCATGTTTACTGTTGGCTATATATATGTATATCTATATGAAAGATGGAATAATGCAATGCCGCATTGATATGATCAATGCGGCAATGCATTATTCCATCTTTCATATATATACCTCAGGATATCTGACTTCGGCTCCTTTTAGTGGGTCGCGTGGCATGGTTGGTTTAGTACTGGCCCTCCGGTCTCATACCCGGAGTGACCTAGGTTCGAGGCCAGGTCAGGGAGGATTGTTATATATATATATTTTATATATATATATATATATATATATATATATATATATATATATATATATATATATATAACTAAGTGTGTGTGTGTGTATGTATACATATATGTATGTATATGTATATATATGTGTATATATGTGTATATATGTGTATATATATGTATATATATGTGTACATATGTGTATATATATGTGTATATATATTTATATATATATAGATATATATGTATATATATATATATATATATATATATATATATATATATATATATATATATTTATGCCTGTGGATACAGCAACACATTTGCTGAGGGTGACTATTCAGATTATGCAGATTATTGCTAAAGTGCAGGAAAGGGAATTGGTGAAAGTTAGGACAGGCTCGGCGTCTCCGCAGGATATGCATCTTCTCCTTCAGGAGACGAGGGCAGAAGCCAGGTGGCGGAGTCGTGGCGGCGCCCGACCAGGCACCTCCTCTTGGCGGGCGGAGAGGCGTCGGGCTCCTCCAGCCAAGGGGCGGCGTGATCGAGCATCGCCAGGTCGGACTCGAAGTCCCCGAGACCCAAGTCGTGAACAAGAGCGTCGAGCATCGTTGAGGTACAGTTGCATCGATGGAGGAGAGTGTGGCGAAGGACTCCTCTGAGGCCGTCTTAAAGGGCTCAAGGACCTGAACCCCGAACACAGGAAGGACCTCGGGAAAGGAAATGACCGGACGAGGTCTTTCTCCGTGATTCCCGCCTAAAGAACGCCGCACATCTTCGTTGATTCTCATAATATATAAATAGCTGATACTTATTTATATTATGGTTATATATGATATACCTCCCTGTAAAATTTCACACGATCCTTGCCAAAGACTCTTGATGCCTTTTTGGAATTCATTGTCAGTTTAATAACTTTGCTGGACATCCCAAACGCACCTCAGATCTGCCTGCTCCTTTCGTTAACCATTGTTGCGTTGTTTGATCAAGTAAAGGCAGCTGGGACTTGACAAGCACTCCTGACTTGAAATGTGATAAATGTTAATATATCACAATCACCTACAACATTCATATATAGTATCACGGATATATTTTACATACACACACACACACCACACACACACACACACACACATATATATATATATATATATATATATATATATATATATATATATATATATATACATATACATATATATACATATATATACATATATATACATATATATACATATATATACATATATATACATATATATACATATATATACATATATATACATATATTTATTGGTTTTCAATAAATCTAGTTTTTACATTGAGGGTTTTTCTACCATATATATGTATATGTGTGTATATATGTATATGTGTGTATCTTCATCATACTGGTTTCATTATAGATAGATAGATAGACAGACACATAAATAGATATATATATACATGTACATATGTGTGCCTTGGGTCATGTGCAGAGAACATTCTTCCAAACAAAGACCCGTAGCTGGAGACCCTCAGTTAATTCCTTTTCTCTTCTTCATATACATTATCACCAACATCCGTCTTGTTTTCCTCCTTTCCCATCATCTTAGCAAGGTATATTATATTTATATTATAACAATATGATATATTTATAATGCATAGCAAATGTATATCCAGCCAAAAAGGAGAGCGTGTAATTAGATATACGGAAGATAAAAATGATTGTGTGTGAAGATGTGTCTCAAATATGCATTACACAATTATTTAATGTAAATATCATGCTTTCGCCGAACTCATCTGCAGTTCAACTAGTTAGTATTCTTTTTTTCCTTGTTTTAGATTTCTGTGTAATATATTCCTAAGAGGTAAAGTAAATTGCCCAACTCATTTCTGTCTTTTTATAAAGATAAAAACAATAACTCTCTATACATTATATAAGGAACTACTAAGCGAATGTAAGTAGCGGTCGAACTTCCTCACTGAATGAAGTCATATTTTTTTTCCTGTCCTGGTCTTACGTCATCCTCGAACCATGGCTCGCAGGCACGCACACCTGACACATCATGTGCATGGAACGATCACTGGCGTGCATGAACCCTTTCCCACAGTAATGGCAGGTGAAGGGCCGGTCGCTTGCGTGGCCGAGCAAGTGAGCAGCGAGCGAAGACGATTGCATGAAAGTCGCACCACAAATGTTGCACGCAGAAGAACGCCTGTTGCTCCCTGTGTGCTGGGCCATGTGCGCCTCCAAGTGACTCCGACGCGAAAATTTCTTGCAACAAAGAGGACATTGCACGTTTTCCTTCAGACCTAAAGCGGGATTAGGTTTAAGAACTAGTGTTTGGGCTTCCATTATGACGTCTGGTCTTCTGCTCTCGGTGTTGGGAAATGTTATATGCCTCTGTTACCATCGCGCACTGTTTTTATACACTTATAACCCGACCTCATACCTGCCGACCTGTAATTAAGAGAAAAGGAACGGGCATTCGAGAAGTCACAGGATTAACACGGAGAAACACAAGTACAAATAAACGAGGAATAAGAATAAGAATAAGAATAAGAATAAGAATAAGAATAAGAATAAGAATAAGAATAAGAATAAGAATAAGAATAAGAATAAGAATAAGAATAAGAATGGGAATGAGAATGGGAGTGAGAATGAGAATGAGGATAATAAAAACGAAAATAATAAAAACGAAAATGATAATAACGAAAATAATAATAATGAAAATAATAATAACAAAAATAATAATAACGAAAATAAAAATAACGAAAACAAGAATAACGGAAATAAGAGTAACGAAAAAAAAATAACGAAAATAAGAATAACGAAAATAAGAATAACGAAAATAAGAATAACGAAAATAAGAATAACGAAAATAAGAATAACGAAAATAAGAATAAAAAAAATAAGAATAACGAAAACAAGAATGACGAAAATAATATTAACGAAAATAAGAAAATTATATTAGCGAAAATAAGAATAACAAAAATAACGAAAATAATATTAGCGAAAATAAGAATAACAAAAATAACGAAAATAAGAAAATAAAAATAACGAAAATAAGAAAATAAAAATAACGAAAATAAGAAAATAAAAATAACGAAAATAAGAAAATAAATATAACGAAAATAAGAAAATAAAAATAACGAAAATAAGAAAATAAAAATAACGAAAATAAGAAAATAAAAATAACGATAATAAAAAAATAAAAATAACGAAAATAAGAAAATAAGAATAACGAAAATAAGAGTAACGAAAATAAGAATAACGGAAATAAGAATAACGAAAATAAGAATAACAAAAATAAGAATAACGATAATAAGAATAACAAAAATAAGAATGACGAAAACAAGAATGACGAAAATAAGAATAACGAAAATAAGAATAACGAAAATAATATTAACGAAAATAAGAATAACGAAAATAATATTAACGAAAATAAGAATAACAAAAATAACGAAAATAATAATAACGAAAATAAAAATAACGAAAATAAGAAAATAAAAATAACGAAAATAAGAAAATAAATATAACGAAAATAAGAAAATATATATAACGAAAATAAGAAAATATAAATAACGAAAATAAGAAAATAAAAATAACGAAAATAAGAAAATAAAAATAACTAAAATAAGAAAATAAAAATAAGAAAATAAAAATAACGAAAATAAAAATAACGAAAATAAGAAAATAAAAATAACGAAAATAAGAAAATAAAAATAACGAAAATAAGAAAATAAGAATAACGAAAATAAGAAAATAAAAATAACGAAAATAAGAA